AGAGCCCTAGATAAAGCACCATTCTTTCAGGTCTCCAAGTTCTTCAGAGCTCACATCCAAAGGGGTTATGTTACAGATTCTCCTAGAGCAGTGGGGTTGTTGTTAAGTGCCGTTGAGTAGATTTCGACCCATAGCGACCCTGTATAGGATTTCCAAGGAGCAGCTGGTGAGCTTGAACCACTGACCTTGCAGTTCAAATGACTTTGCAGCCTGATGCATTAGCAGACAGCGCCACACCAGGATTCCAGAGTGGGAAACCTTTTTTTTTTCTGTCAAAATTTATAATTATCATTCACGGGCCATATAAAATTATCAACTTAAAAATTAGCATGATATATCAAGAACATAATACATGAAGAAAGCAAAAAGTCATTAAGAAAACAAGAAAGACGGAAAAGGTCAAAATGGATGTCAGAAGAGACACTGAAACTTGCTCTCCAACATAGAGATGCTAAAGCAAATGGAAGAAATGAGGAGGTCCAAGAGCTGAATAGAAAATTTCAAAGATCAGCTTGAGAATATAAAGCCAAATATTACAACAAAATGTGCAAATATGTGGAGGCAAAAAACCAAAAAGGAAGAACACGCTCAGCACTTGTCAAGCTGGGGGATCTGAAGAAAAAATTTAAGCCTAGACTTTCATTACTGAAAGATTCGCTGGGTAAACTACTGAGTGATGCAGAAAGCATCAGGAGAAGATGGAAGGAATACACAGAGTCATGGTACCAAAAGGAAATGGGTCATGTGAACCGTTTCAAGAGGTAGCATATGATCAAGAGCCAATGATACTCAGGGAGGAAGTCCAAGATGCATTGAAGAAATTGGCAAAGAACAAGGCACCAGGAATTGATGGAATAAAAATAGAAATCGTTCAAGAAAGTGAGGCTGCACAGGAGGCACTCACTCATCTCTGCCAAGAAATTTGGAAGACAACTATCCAGCTGACTGATTGGAAGAGATCTGTATTTGTGCCCATTCCAAAGAGAGGTGACCCAACAGAATGCAGAAATCATCGGACAATCCCTTTGATATCCCATGCAAGTAAAGTTTTACTAAAGGTAATACAGAAACGGCTGCAAAGCATACATTGACAGAGAACTTCCAGAGGTTCAAGCCAGATTCAGGAGAGGCTGTGGAATGAGGGATATCATTGCTTATGTCCAATGGATCTTGGCTGAAAGCAGAGAATATCAGAAAGATGTTTACCTGTGCTTTACTGACTACGCAAAGGCTTTCGATTGTGTGGATCATGACAAGCTATGGACAACTTTGCGAAGTATGAGTATTCCAGAACGTTTAATTGTGCTCATGAGGAACCTGGACCTGGACCAAGAGGCAGTTGTTCGAATAGAACATGGGAACACTGAATGGTTTAAAATTAAGAAAGGTGTGTGACAGGGTTGTATTCTTTCACCTTACTTATTCAACCTGTATGCTGAGCAAATAATCCGAGAAGCTGGGTTATATGAAATAAAACATGGCATCAGGATTGGAGGAAGACTCATTAACAACCTATGATATGCAGATGATACAACTTTGCTTGCTGAAAGTGAAGAGGACTTAAAACGTTTACTGATGAAGACCAAAGAGCACAGTCTTCGGTATGGATTACAGCTCAATGTAAAGAAAACAAAAATCCTCACCACTGGACCAATAAACAACATTCTTATCAATGGAGAAAAGACTGAAGTTGTCAAGGACTTCATTCTCTTGAATCAACTACCAACACTCACAGAAGCAGCAGTTAAGAGATCAAACGACATAATGCATTAGGTAAATCTGCTGCATAAGACCTTTTGAAAGCGCTGGAGAGCAAAAATGTCAGCTGGACTGACCCAAGCCACGGTATTGTCAATAACCTCATATGCATGTGAAAGCTAGACAGTGAATAAGGAAAACCATAGAAGAACTGAAGCTTTTGAGTTATGGTGTTGGAGGAGAATATTGAAAGTGCCATGGGCTGCCAAAAGAACCAACAGATTTATGTTGGAAGAAGTGCAGCCAGAGTGCTCCTTGGAAGCCAAGATGGCCAAGCTTTGTCTTTCATACTTTGGACATATTGTCAGGAGGGACCAGTCACTGGAGAAGGACATCATGTTTGGTAAGGTGAAGGGTCAGAGAAAAAGAGGAAGACCCCCAATGAGATGGATTGGCCAAGTGGCAGCATTGATGGACTGAAGTGTGGCAACAGTAGTGAGGTTGGTCCAGGATCGGGCAATGGTCGCTATGAGTCGGTACTGACTCGATGGCACCTAACAACAGCAACATATTTGGTCAAACATTTTATTAACTCGCCCCTAATGTGATAGCTGGAACTGCAGTTGCCTTGGAAGGCCCAGACCAAATATTTCCAGGGCCTTATGCAGCCCCGAGGGATGCCTGGTGTGGTGCTGTGGGTTAATGTGCCAGACTACAAAGCCGTTTGAACTGCAAGGTCGGTGGTTCAAGAACACCTGCTGCTCCTTGGAAACCTGATACAAGGTCGCTATGGATCAGAACGATGCGATGGCACTTAACAACAACAATAAACACACATCCCTGAACTTATACATCCCACAGGCCAGATGTCCTCACTCTGTTATAGACCCTTGCAGATTTCAGAACAAGCCCAAGGCCACACGATGCTGAGCAAGCCCTACCTCCCTATATGTACGGCAGGAACGTTTCTCATTGTGCTATTGTATGCTGGGGAAAACACCTAGAGAGAGATGCCTGCTTTTCTTGAAGTTGGGTTCCTTTTCCTTTTATTCACTGGCACCTGGTTTTCAGCAGTTGCCAGCTCTCTTTCAGTTACCAGCTGAGTTACGGCTTCCGTGGCTTTGCTTTGTTCTTTTGTTGCTGCCATCTCCCTGCTCTGCTCCTAACCCTGAACTTGCCCAATTGCTCACTGGTCCTGCACAGCATCGATGTAAGGGCCTTTGACACACCCTCTCTTCTCCCTCCCTCTTGTGTTCCCACTCAGCCCCCACTTCTGGCCATCACTCAGCATGTCACCCAGGACTCCTACTCCAAGTATGGGGTGGCTACGGTTGCCTTCCTCACTCAGCTTATAGGCTCTCTGAGGTCAAGAACAGTGTGTGTTATTGCTCCTTTGTTTACCTGGGCCATGTCTATTGCCTCATACGCTGGGGAATGCAAATAAATTGTTTGCTTAATGAATGAAGTAGGCAAATGGCAAAGTATAATGGAAGCCTGCTTTGATCTAGTTTTAACAGATCCAGGCTTTGAAATGATATCATACACATTGATTCATCCTGGATGAGATGCGTTGTTCACCCTTATTCCACATACACAGTGGTCAATGATGTAACTCACTTGACCTCCAGGCAGTCACTGGGAAATGCCAAGCCTCTCTCAGAGCACCTAACAAAGGGTCTGATAACAAGAACTTGGGAGTCTGTCTTCCTTCTGTAGTGCCGCTATAAGACAAATACCACAAAGTGGATGGCTTTCACAAACACGTTTGTTTTCTCACAGTTTAGGAGGTTAGAAGTCTGGACTCAGGGCACTGGCTCTCTGTGGGCTCTAGGGGAAGGTCCTGGTCTCTTCAGATGGTTTCCTGGCTCCTTGGTGATCTCCATGTGGCTAGGCATCTGGCTTCACCCATCTTTACTTCTTTAATCTGCTGCTTTCAGGTTTTGTTAAGAGATGGACTCAAAACACACCCTACATCAACCCTGCCCCACAAACATAACAAAGACAACCCATTCCTGAATGGGATGTTAACAACAAGCCTAGAGGTTAGGATTTACAACCCGTATTTTTGGGGAACACAATTCAATCCATAAGAGAATGCATGGATTACTAATATCGGGCTAAGCACTTGACACAGAGTCTACCATTCACTCGTATTGCTGGAGTACCCTACGTTAAATCTCTAACAATTGTCTAACTTTTCCAGAGGCTGGGTCTAGTACAGCACCTGACACACAAGAGTGGGCTTGGCGGATCCTCCACATCTGGTGCCATGGTTACCCCTGCCATCTTCTGCAGGGCTGGGCCCATGGAGACCTTTTTCCAGTAGCAATTCTAGTTCCATCCACTATGGACTGAATTGAGTTGCTATGTAGTGGTTATGAACTGGGCTGTGAACCGCAAGGTCAGCAGTTTGAAACTACCAGCTGTTTTGCGGGAGAAAGATGAGGCATTCTGTTCCTGTAAAGATTTACAGCCTCGGAAACCCTGTACAGGGTCGCTATGAGTCAGAATCGACTCCACAGCACATAACAACAACAACAACAACCCCAACAAAGGAGCCCTGCAGGTGGAGTGAGTTACGTGTTGGGCTGTTAACGTTAAGGTCAGCAGTTTGAATCCACTGGCTGCTCTGCTGGCAAAGATAAGGCTTTCTGCTCTCATAAAGATTTACAGCCTTCAAAACCCTATCCAGGGTTGCTATGAGTCAGAACTGACTCAACGGTACCCATAAACATCCACCCCACCAAAAAACGCATATTGATGTCCTGGCCCTTGTTCTCATGGATCTGATCCTGTTTGGAAATAGGGGGTTTCCTTTGTTATGTTCATGAGTCCACACCAGAATGGAGTGGGACCTAAAATGAATCACTTCTGAGTTCTAAAAAGAGCAGAAAAACACAGGGTCACACGCACACAAGAGGGAGGGTGATGTCATACAACAAAAGACATGCACAACTGGTACCTCTACCAGCCCAGCTCCTAACCTCAGGGTCAGCAGTTAGAAACTACAAGCCGTTCTGTGGGAGAAAGATGAGGCTTTCTGCTCCCCTCGGAAACCTTAGAAGGGTTGCTATGGGTTGGAACCAACTCAACGGCACTTAACAACAACAACAACTAGAAGCTGAAATAGACAAAGAACACCCCTCCCCCCTGGGGGCCACAACCTAGATGCAACTTCTAGATGTCTGAACTGTGAGAAAAAGCCTATTGCTACTCTTTAACGTCGCCCATTTGTGCTCTTCTCTCTAACAGCAGCACTAACTAAGACCCCATCACAGATGGGCTCCTCCCATTAGACTCACCTTTCCTTACTGGAAAAGTCGACTCCCAGCAGGATACTCTCTTCTGTGTCCTGGCGTCCGCTGCTGTCCACCACCACCATGTACCGGATGCGGTCTGCCCAAGCGCTCTCTAGGCGCACGGCCTAGACCGGGAGAAGACAGTATGGTCAGCCTTTCAAGGATGTGCCCCCCACATCCTTTGCCAAACCATAAGCAAGGAGCTTTGTTTTCTACCTATTCCTACTGGGAGTTTAGGAACTGAGATGCAATTCTTTTTCTTTTTTTTTTTTTTCGTTTTTTAATGTTTTATTGTTGAGATGCAATTCTTGAGAACAAAACCATGGCTCATTTAGATCCCTGGCACCAAGACCAGTGACTGGTCAAAGTGAATGAACAAATGAAGTTCAGAAAGTGAAGATTCTGATTCAATCCAGGTGAACAGAAAGGTCTTATGCAGTCCCCCACATGCCTGTTTGGAAACTAGGCCTCTGGGATTTCAAATACCAGCAGGGTCACCCATGGGGGAGAGGTTTCAACAGAGTTTCCTGACTAAACAGACTAGGAAGAAAGGTCTGGGGGGTCTACACCCCAAAATCAGCTAACAAACCCTATGGATCACAAGAGCACACCGCCCCATTGCAGGTGCTGGTACGGGTCTCATTTCATTCTATTATATGTAAGAGAATCATGGGTTGGTGCCACCTCAACAACCACCAACAACAACAATGGCGAGACCCAACACGTTCCTTCAACAGCCCTGTGGGTTACTGAGGAGCCAACCTGGATTGAGCTTTTGTGAATAATTTGGGAGATTGGTTCCTGATTCCCACCTATGGTTCATGAATGATTTCCACCCAAATCTCCCAATTCAAACTTCGCACTTGCCCCTCTCTTCTTCTTCTTCTTTTTTTTTTTTTTTTTAATGTTTTATTGTGAATTATGTAATAGTTTACATGGGAGAACATTAGTTTTACATTCATCCTGTCGCATATCATTTCATCGCTATGGTTACAATTCCCTCCATTCTCACTCATCTCTTCTTACCAGCTTGATTCTGTCTTCACAACGCAGAAGGTTGATCATCACTTGAAGGTGTTGGGGCAAGTCACCTGTTGGACCAAAAGAGAAAGAGTGAAAAGTTTACTCACCTACTTTCCGACAAGAGGACCTGGGACAGGACTTAGAAGTGAAAACATCTCTGCTTACATCACTGGAGAAGCATCCCCAAATGTACCCTTGCCAGTTTTCTTGCCTCAGTCCTGAATATTATCCGAAAAAGGCAAAGATGTGGCTTATGACTGTGCTGTGACGCATTGTTTCCATTTTCTGAAATAGTGACAATATGGATTTTTTCTTTTTAAAACATAAAATTTGGAGGAGCCAGATAAGCCACCTCATCCAAGCAAGCTTGGCTTTCAGGGTGGGGTAGCAGGTGGCAGATACATTGCTGGACTAAGGGAGAACTAGAAATGAGTCTGAGAAGGCTCCCTGAATGGGACAAATGATTAAGTGCTGGATTACTAGCGGACATACTAGTATTCTGACACACACACCCTCCCAGGCACCTCGGAAGACAAGCCTAGTGATCTGCTTCTGCAAGGTCACAGCCTTGAAAACCTTATGGAGTACAATTCTACCCTGCATACATGATGGGGTGCAGTGAATTATTTAGTCTATTCTAGCCATAGTCTTTGTAAATTCTCTCAAAACAACTTTTTTCCTGATGGGTCTGGGCAAGTGAAGATGGGGGGAGAGGCTGAAGAATTATATAGTTCATTTGTGGGTGACT